GAAAGTGGTTGCCACGGCAGTGACTAAAGTTTTTCTTGGGATGGATCAAAAAAAAAAAAAAAAAAAAAAAAAAAAACCATGGGAGTGATACTCAATGGGTGTCTGATACACTAGGCTACTGAAGGTGAATGTTACTATTTGGGCCACTTTATATTTCATTGTTTGCATATACCACATTTTGCTTACAAAGTCTCCTTAGACTGCTTGTAGCCCTGTGAACCCGTAACTGTGGTGAGGGTCCTCCCACACAGTAATGCCCTTAGATACAGGTCCAGGAGTTCCTGTCCTGGCATCCAGACTCCAGAACGTCCTATGTCTTCCTATGGTGCTTGGGACCAACCAGGTCAGCAACGTATCAAGGTTGATGACCTGAGACTGGACCATGACTTGTGTGGATCCCAGTTCCCCTTTCTTCCTTTTGAGGCTCTTTCTGACTCTCTATTTTGCCTGTGAGGTTGACCAGTTGCCCTTAAGAGCTCCTGTACTCATTCTTCCTGGGGCATGTGAACCCAGATGCCTCTCCCCACTGCTGGCACCCAGAACGGTCTCTCCATCCACTGGGGGCTCTGCATATCAGGTAGTGCTCATGGTTGGCAATTCCAATCTCCTCCGAGGGCATTTGAGACCTTTATAAACTGTTGATACAGAATTCTAACAGGCTTTTTCTGTCTATATTTCCTCTTGCCTACAATCAATAGGTTGACATCCTGCTCTCTGTGTCTGGTCCTAAGCAGTGACTGATGAAGGACAGACATACCTTGAGAAAAAGATACTGGTCTTCTCTCTCAGCCCATGGGCCACTGGCCTCCTTCCACTGTGGGCAGTGTGTGGAAGACAGAGGTGTAGTCAACATTGAAAGAAATCACATCGTAGGAACACAGTGATTACACCCAAAAAGATGAGGAGAAGTAATGACGTGTCATTCCATGCTTTCATTCAACAACTTTAACTTCACTTGAACACGAAAAGAGAACTAATTATCATTCATGTTGTCCTGCATAATCTAAGACTGGAATTTGTGGACATTATCAATCCAGCAGAGGAAAACCTTTGATATAGCTATTGGATACCAGTATTCTTGGATGAATGAATGCAAAACTAATGACATAGTGTTCTGAGTCATGATGTAACCAGCATTAAATAATTGAAATTATGTAACTGCACAGGCAAGAAGATCTATATCTTCTGTTCTATTCCCTCAACCACAACAAGCAATATTTCCAGCAAGCAAGTCAGACACAAACAATACATAAGCAGGAGAAATAAACAGAATGAAAGATATCAATGGTTTGGGCTTTGGAGGGCAGCAATATCCCTCTTCTAAATTTCTATATTATATTATAGATATAATATATATGACCTATACAATATATCACATATATTATATATTATATATCATATAATATAACCATAATATATAATATATATCATATAATCATATGATTATATATGATATGATTATATGATATACTATATAATATATAGTATGTCATATACTATATAATATACAATATATAATATACAATATATAATATATAGTATATCATATAATATAGAATATAACATGATATATATTACATAATATATAATATAATTAATATAATTAATATATATTATATTATATATTATTATCTAAAGATCTATCTTATTTCAAAAAAACAGTGATTTCAATAAAATTACTTTTAAGTGATTAAGAGTCATGGAATTATAAATAATATCAATCTTTTCCTTTTTCTCATAGCAGATGTGAAATAGACTGAAATAGCATGTTTGACAATAATGAACATGAAGAGATAATTATTGGATCTGAACTAGAAGAGATGGTACCTAGACAGTATGACAAATGTTCACATGCACTAATTAGACAAACAAGAAATATTTGAGAACCTCTTCTGTACTTATCATTCTAAACTATCATTAATAAGCCACTGTTCTCATGTAGACACCTGAGGTTTTAAATGTATTTTCTGATCGGATTGTATATACAGATCCGAATTCTGCCAAAAATATTTGCTAGAGTCCCACATACCCAAAGAATAGTCTTGTTCATACACAGCTCTTTATGAAATCGTGAGAGATTTGCTCTGGTCCCTATTCAAGAAGAGGGAGTGCTAAAGAGTATCATATACACAAATGTATTTAATTTACCTAAGCACCAGTCTTTCTAGAAGGCTGCATCCTTTTTATCCCATCAACACTGCTTGTGGTTCTAGTTTCTCCATGTCTGCACCATTTGTATATTCTGATTTTCAAATTTTTATCAATCTAATGGGCTTAAAGTGATAGTTGATTGTTTTCGGTTGAAAGTTGTTGATCATTACTTCAGTAGAGCTTCTCTTTTAATATTTCTGAGCTGTTACATTTCTCCTTCTGTAAATTGTATTATCATAACTTTTCCTGTGTGTCTATTGGTTAGCTTACCTTTTCCTGCTGCTCTGAGAAGTTATATTAACCCCCTCTTCACTGCAGATATTGGAAATATTTTCTACCAGTTGATCACCCATTTGGTAACCTTTATTAAATATAAACCCTTAATTTAGATGCAGTAAAATCCATTCATTGATTACAGGCAGTCTTCCATCAAAATGTATGCTCTTAACCACTAGCACTGCATTATACAACCCAACAGGTATTCATTTCCAGCATGATGCAGGTGCATCCCGCAAGTACTGAGAGATTAGTGCCTGAAGGTCCCCACTTGGCCAAAGGAGGACAAAAGCCCATAGATAAACACTTCCACTTTGATCTCATGGGCAGAAGATCCTGAGATGCATTTCATACAACTTCTAAGGAAGTCTGGAGGAATCAAGGGCCCGTCACAGGTAGATGTGGAGGTAACAGGCTCATGGACCAGCCTTGCTTCTTCCTCTGCTTACTCTTTCTCTTCCTCCCACCAGCACCCTGGGATCATTCCCAGATACACATCTGCACAGAAGCCTTTGTCTCAGGCTCTCTTTCCAGACAACCCAGGCTAAGACACAAGACACATAGGCCTCTGTGTTGTTTGTTTATTTAAAAAATATTTTTGACTGAAAAAAGTCAGAAAAAGAGTGAGAGTCATAGTGCATTCCTACTTAAATGAATGCAAAGCACACCAAAAAAAAAAAAAAACAAAAAACAACCCTCACATATTTTGAAGGATTGTTTTCACTTCTAGAAAGCAGTCATTGATATTTTCACTATAGCTGACAATCCCTGTGAACAAACAGAAACTAAATTACTTGAGTGAACATTCTAATTGGGGGAACTTCTATTAGATATTCTGGATGTCTGAATTCTATTAAGCCCAAATATCCACAAATCTTTAGCATACTATCAAGATGAAACGATCTGTAAGCCTGTTTTACTCTGCCAATGATCCATTTCTTGGACTTCCTTTATTGGGAGACTATTCTCGACCGTCTTTCGTGTTTCTGAATGTCTTGTGAACAGAGCTTTTTGTTGCAGACTATCTTTCCAAAGATGGTTGTTTAGCGAATAATCTTGGACGATAGAGATAGCCTCTCGCTTCAGAGCAAAGAACAAACATGCTTACTGTCCACTGAAATTTGGGTAATCCAAACTCAGGACTCCTTCCCTATAACAAAATTCACCATGGCAGTGGTGTCACCCAGCCGTTATCTCATTGACCTGTGGGAATTGGGGCTTGGGGAATTGATGCAATTGTGGGGATAATCATGGTGTCTAGCTTTGCCTAAGAGTTTCATGTCTTCTGCTGGCATCCATGAAACTGTTGGAGGTAAACTTGTTGGTGCACATGTAAGATACAATGTCACGTTTAAAGTTCTTGGCGCTGCTAGTAGCAGTTACTTATCCAATTCTCAACTGGTAATTGTCTGTACTTCTGTTTTCACAACCTGATCCTTTTCCCAAAAACCTTTCTTTGGGTTTTCTAAGACTCATATTCTTACACCACTTTCTTCTTTCCTATTTATGGCATCACATACCCTTGGAGCTTTCCTTGATCTCCATGGCTTTTGCTCTTTAAGCATCTATGAAATTCCTCTCTCACTAAACTTCTAAATGATTGGGCTCCCAGGGGATAGATAGTAAACCATTTTTTTCCCTTTTTACTCTGCATTGTCCCTATGGGAGGCATTCTCATCCATAATCTTTTCTGCCATTCTCATCAGTGCTTGATTTTACCAACTCTGTACCCCCAGAGATCTCTTTTGGGTTCCACACCCAAATAGCCTACTGTCTGCTCAACATTTTCATCTAAATATCTCAGAGGAACTAAAACTCAATACATCCAAAATAGAAGTAATAATTATTCCCCCTAAACCTACTTCTGCAGGTTTTCTGTCTTGATAATGGACATTATCGTCCACCTAGTGATTTAAGCCAGAGGTTGGTATACCCACATTTAATCAAACATAATGCTCTGTTGATTCTCTCTCTTAAATATCTTTGGAAGCAGAATGATTTCCTCCATTGCCACATCCCCACCTGATTCCAAGTAACCCCGCCTGTATCCCACAGTGTGACAGCAGCGTACTCAATGATCTTTCCACCTCCACTTCTGCTCCCTGCCAAACCACTTTCTATTCTAACCAGCATGACCTGTCAAAAGTGAAAAATCTATTCATTTAATCTCCCTATCTAAAATCACTGGATGGCCTCTTTCCATATCATTTATAATGAAGTCCCACTGCCTCAGTGAGGCTTGCAAAACCATGTATTTTTCTGGGCTAGCCTCAACTCATATGATTCTTTTCTGTCCACTCCCCGCATATCTCCTCATAAACACGATGTGCGTCTTTCCTGCCTAAATGTTGTTTGTTCTACCTTGAATGCCTTTCTCCCTGTGGTAGATTAAAGATGTCATTTTTTGTTTTTGTTTCTTGCTTTTTACTCCCTTTTAGAGGCACGGTTTATTTTCCCTTTTCCTACAACTATGCTGGCCGTGTAATTACTTTAAACAAACTGAAGTAGTTCTGTATCTAAACCTCAAGAAAACCTGGTAACCTTTTTCTTTTTGTCTTGATCTGTCATCTAAGCAATCTGGCTACCTTTGTGGAGAGACTGCGTGGAAAGGCCAGATGATGAGGCAATAATTTGATCCAACTTGGACAGAAAAGCCCAGCCTGAGAGCGGACCCCAGCTTTCAAGATATCTACCACCTGTAAGTGGTATACATCTTAGATATTCCAGCCTTGTTGAGATGCCCAATGACAAAAGTATTAAGTGACAGTACATGGAACAGAAGTATTACCCACTGGAGCAGTCAACCACACAATCATGAAAGATAATAAAATGACTGTTTTGTTAAGCCACTAAGTTTTGAAGTGGTTTCTTAAGTAGCCACAGAGTTAAAAGTCTAGCAGGTGAGGCAAATCCATAACTAGAGTAAATGACTACACTAGTGAGAGTAAAGAATTTTGCTTTCATGATGGAAGTGGTCCAGAACAATCATCCTGCCCTAGGTGGCTGGCTGGTGACCTCAGGGTATGGCACCATATTGGAGGCTGACTTTTAGTCCTTGTGGTTGGCAAGTTATAGACACTCAGAAGAGTAACCATTTCACTTTTTTTTTTTTTTTTTTTTGAGGTGGAGTTTTGCTCGTGTTGCCCAGGCTGGAGTGCAATGGCATAATCTCAGATCAATGCGATCTCTGCCTCCTGGGTTCAAGCAACTCTCCTGCCTCAGTCTCCTGACTAGCTGGGATTACAGGTGCCCACCATCACACCAGGCTAATTTTTGCATTTTTACTAGAAATGGCATTTCACCGTGTTGGCCAGGCTGGTCTCAAACTCCTGACCTCAGGTGATCCACCTGCCTCGGCCTCCCAAATTGCTGGGATTACAGGCGGGAGCCACCACGCCCGGCCCCATAACACTTTTGATGTGTCAAAATCTGTTTGCTGGGTTTCCCTGCCACCAGCACCACTTTGTTCATGAGCTCAGTGGGCACAGACACGGGAGGCTGGGAAAAGGTTGGATTTTAGGAAGTACTGACCTGCTGCCACACAATGGGGACAAGAAAGTCTAGAATTCAGAAATTGTCTACGGGGCCTAAATTATTTCAAATCCATATGGTTTCAGAATATGTGGAAATGCACTAGTCCTCTTGCCCAACAGTCTATTTTTAAAAACAAGATTAAGTTATACTTTCATGAAGAATGATGCATATGGCTAGACTCCAATGGACTAATATCTCCAGAGAACCTCTGTTTTGAAAAGTGAGTCCTGGAGCAACAACTTAGTAGCTGTGTTGGGTATAATTTATGGTGTTGATTAATTTTTAGTGGTTAAAGGAAAAAGCATATAGAGCATTAAATGGGAAGGAACTGGAATATGATTATAAAATAAAAAGGCATATGAACTGATGGGAATCTTTGTAGTAAAAAAAAAAAAAAAAAAAAAAAAAAAAAAAAAAAAAAAAGCAAAGATAAACAATGCAAATTGACCATAAATCAAGCACAGCTATGCAATAGGGGGTCTTACTGCCAAAATGTGTGCAAGATCTAGGGACGTGGCTGTAACACACGTTCCTTTCCCCACAATTCCTTTTTCCATTGGCTCTTAATCTCCTCTTCCATGAGTATGATGGAGTCATTGAGGGTATACAATTAACATGCGATAATAAGCAATACGCTATTAATAATAAGGAAGGAGACCTTAGAGAGTCTGATCCAATTTCAAGGAAAGAAGATGTTGAGCCTGTGTCACCTTCTTTGGTTTTGCAAGTCCAAAAGATAAAATAGCTGAAATACTCATAAAATATCTCAATTTCTGTGTTCCACTTGTAATTCTAAGAAGGTCATGGCTCCCTAAATAAGACAATCCTGGAAGTAAAAAATGAACAACTTAATTTTTCAAGTCTGAGTTTCATCACACAAAATGTTAGGTTTATAATGGTTTTCTAGTGGTGTTGATGCAGATGAAATGAGATAACACCTGAAGAGCATCTACCAGTGTCCAAGTGTTTTCTTAAAGGAAAGTAGTAAAGAGAGCAATTCAAAGCAAGTATTTATTGAACATTTGGTGTGTGACTCTATGATAATAAAGACATTAAACAGATTCCAATTTCATTACATTTTAAAAACTACTTATTATAAAAAAAGTCATCTGTGGATTAATCAACTTGATAAATAATAATCGTATCCTGCTAACAAAGATCCTGTGAGTTGATTAAGATTTTCCCTCTACAAACATGTTGGCTGAGTCTGCGTATCTGTTGTACAATAAGAAAAATAAACATCTGAGGTGGTAGTTTAGTTAAATCTAGTAGATTTTTCTAAAGCCAGAACATCTCATTTAAATAAAGCAAACATTTAACCTCCACATTAGACTTTTAAACAGGGCCCTAATGAATAAATTAAATTCCTAATTTGTTTTGGACATCATTAAAATGTTCCGCTATAATCTGGAATACATACATTTGGGATGACTGGTTATAGAGAATCCTTAAGATAGATGATAAATAAGAGATAAATAAGAGGGTTAGCTCATAGTCTAAATTCAAGCTTTCAATTTTTTTTAATTTTTATTTTCGGAGCTTTGCCTGGGCAGGAAATACTCTTACCCCTTTCATATGGAAATTATTTCCACAACATGCACCATCAATATTCATCAACTATCACACCAATTAACAAACCGTGAATAATCTGGAACAAAAATTTAATGCATGAAAACCCACAAACATCTAGGTGGCTGTTAATAAGGCTATGTTTGAGGTAATCACACACAAATTTAATTTTAAATATGCTTCCCTTAAGGAAGGGGTATCAATGTTAACTTAAGAATTTAATGTGTATGTTTTAACAAAATGTCTTTCAAGGAATCTTTGCAAAAACATCACACCAGTAACCTGATTACCAACCAAACATTTATATTTCTTTTACGGAATGGAAACAGACTATTCCCTTTATACTGATATAACTTTATGGACCTCCTTCATGGAATTAATATCACCCTATACCATCTTGGTAAAAAAAAAAAAATTGTCAAAGAAATTCTTTGAATGCATACTTTATAAAAACATATGCTTTTGAAATGAGTACTAAAAGAACATTTTTCAGCTTTAAGCAATATCAAAGTTTAGACCAGGGGCTTCAAGGTTGATCATTTCTGTAAATGAGCTCGTACTGTGATTTTAAAATTTACACACACTCTAAGTGACCTTCCAAACGAGTGTTTTAAACTGGCGACTTTTCATCCCAGATAAACTCATAATATTTTTTGGTTTTGTTTTCTCTAAATTTGATGACAGAGAAAAAAAGGATGTCAACTGCTTCTGCATACACCACAAGATCACCAAGGTCTGGAAGAAACACACAACTTTCTCTGCAGCAAGTAAGCAGCAGAATGGCAGAACTCCGACCTGCCTGCTTCCTACCCTTAATAAGAATCCCCCGCCTTGGTAAAAGATTAAGCTAAAGCCAATAAAAGTTGAGGAGAGGGAATTATAAGGATATAAGCTAAAATTAATTACACTGAAAATAAAGCTATAATAGAAAGGATCAACAAGGAGGAAGCTGATCCCTGCAAAGACTAATAAAGTAGATAAATCTCTGGCATGACAAATCAAAGATCAAAAGACAGCATAGATAAAGAATATTAGAAATGTAAAGGAGGATTAATTATAGCTGGGGTAGAAGTTTTAAATGTTACAAGAGAAAATTTATAAAACCCATATGGCAATACATTTTAAAATAGAACAAAAATGGTAATTTCCAAGAAAATATAATTGACCGAAGCATATTGAAAAAGAAATAAAAACCTGAATAGATGTATCAAGGTTCAAGAGATTCAATTAATAGTTAAATATTACCCTCCCCAAAAGGAAACCATTCAATAAACATTTCAGGCCCATATGACTTTTTAGGTATTTTCTATCAAGCATTTAAGGAAGGTATTATTCCAATAATATGCAAACTCTCTAGAGTGAAAAAAAAGAACTACATTTTACAAATCTAACATAATTTTGTTAGCAAAATCAGGTAGCTAGAGCTTGAAAAATGAAAATTACAGTTCAGTGATATCATTCATGAGCATACAATTTAAAAACCCCAAATCAAAAAATATTAGTAATTCAAATCCAACAGTGTATATTTTGAAATTTCAATTAGTTATTTTTAAATCTTACCAGAGAATGTCTTTTATCTAGGACATTTAATCCATTTCATTTTATTTGACTTCTGTAATTCATTAAATGGTTTCTTATTTTCCTTTTTTTCTTTTTGTTCTTCCTTTCCTGAATTCTCTTCTGATTGAATATTTTGTCATTATCATTCTGTTTTACTTTTTTTTTTTTTTTTTTTTTTTTTTTTTTTTTTTTTGAGATGGAATCTCGCTGTGATGCTCAGGCTGGAGTGCAGTGGTGCAATGTTGGCTCACTGCAACCTCCGCCTCCTGAGTTCAAGTGATTCCTGTGTCTCAACCTCCCAAAATGCTGGGATTACAGGCATGAGCCATCACACCTGGCCTGTTTTTCTTTATTTGTCTGGCTTTTCTTGTTCCTTTTGTTCATCTTTTGTTTTTTAACTTTTATTCTATTTTTAATTGACACACAATGATTGCACATACTTATGAGGTATGATGTGATGTTTCAATACAAGTATGTATTGTGTAATGATGAAATCAATGTAACTAGGAAATTCATCACCTAATTTCCAGTGAGATCATTCAAAATCTTCTGTTTAAGCTTTTTTGAAATATAAAATACATTATTGTTATTTCTACTCACCTGATTTGTGCAATAGTTTCACTTTTTTTTAACTTTCATATTGATTATACAAATATTCTTGTTTCACTTCTTTTTATGTATTTGGAAATTAGAGACCACAATTTTGTACAATTTTTAACAAAGTGTAAGTTTTATCAATAGTATCATTAGTTCAGTCCCAACTAGTACAAAAAGGCCTTAGAAAGCTTTGTCTCCAACCAACTCTCTTCAGTTCATATGTTATTGCAGTCTAGGATTTTAGTTCTCTCCTGTTTCTCTTTTTCTAAGTTTTTATTGTTTGATAGAGTCAATGTACATTTTGATTTCTCTACAAATTTTCCAACATCTTTGTTGATTTTTCTTTTTGCATCTTAGACTTTCCATCTGAAATAATTTTCTTTGTGCCTGAAATTTTTTTTATGATTCCTTTGCTGAAGTTGAAGGTTTACTAGTAGCAAATATCTTTCGGTCTTTGTTTGAAATTACCTTTGTTTCACCTTCATAATTGAAAGACACTTTTGATGTATGTAGAAATAAAATTTCATGGTTATTTTCTCTTCCTCCATGGAAGATACTATTCCATTGTCTTCTATCTTCCACTGTTGCTGCTGTGTAGTCACTTGTTAGTCTGACGTTGCTCCATTGTAGGTGACTTGTTCTATCTCTGTGGCTGTTTAACATTCTTCATCAGTGCCCTGCAGCTTCACTGACATCGTTAGGGATGAGTATTTGGATTGCCTTCTTTTCTTCCTCCTTCTTCCTTCTTCTTCCTCGTCATCCTCCTCCTCCTCCTCCTCCTCCTCCTTCTTCTTTCTTCTTCTTCTTCTTTCTTCTTTCTTTTTCTTTTTTCTTTAGACTCTGCTTGGGGGCTAGGTGTACCTGTAATCCCAGCATTTGGGGAGGCTGAGGTGGGAGGATCACTTGAGCCCAGGAGTTCAAGACAAGCCTGGGTAAAATAGCAAGATCTCCCCATCTCAAAACAAACAAACAAACAAACAAACACCTCTCCCACCCCAAAACAAAACAAAAAAAATTCTGCTTGGGTTTTGATGAGATTTCAGGATTTGAAGATTGGTAAACATCACAATCCTAGGTAAATTATTAGCTACTATTTTTAATATATTGCTATGTCCCCATTCTCTTTTAAATTTCCATCTGGAACCCTGATTAGATATTCATTACTTTTATTTCATCCTGACTTTTCTGTTCTTTAACCTCTTTTGAACATATTTCTAGCTCTGTGTTTCCTTTGACTTTTATAGGCTTACTCTTTTGGGTTATAACCTTCAGTTTACTAACTCTTTTGGCCTATGTATTTATCTGCTATTTAATCCAGCCACTGGGGGTTTATATTTTACTTTTGTAAAATTCCTGAAAGCTTCATTTGGTTCTTTTAAAATATTTGCATAATCTTCTAAAGATTTAACTTTTTTCAAAGTCTTATTTCCAGCCTCTCTTACGTCTTTAACTGTATAAATGTTGTTTTTCACAATATTGTGTTTCTGAAGGGTTCGTTGGAATTTCTGGATACATTTTATGTATCTCTTTAGATTTCTTTTATACTTTATGTTTAATTTATAGAAAATATGCTACATGATGAGAAAATGTTTTAGTTGATATTCTAGTTCATTAATTAATTGGTTTTATTGCTGTTCCTTTTCAGCAATTCAGCTCAACTGAGATGTTTGTTTTGAAAACATGTTTAATTTCCCATATTTTACACAAATCTCAGAAGAATATTAGCTAAATTTATTTTGAAATATTTAGTTTGCAATAAAAACATAGTTTCCTTGGGTGCCCATTTGTTACCTTTCTTTAATGTGTTTGAGTTTTTGATTCTTGGTTACCAGGTTGTGTGTGTGAGAATCTGCCTCACCAGATTCTCACCAGCAGCAGTTGGTTCTGACTACAAGAGCCTGTATATGGTGATGGGGGTGAAAGGCCTGTGTTGGATTTTGATATGGTTTGGCTCTGTGTCCCCACCCAAATCTCATCTCAAATTGTAATCCCCAAGAGCCAAGGGAGGGACCTGGTGGGAAGTGATTGGATCATGGGGGCAGTTTCCCCCATTCTATTCTCATGATAGTGAGAATGTTCTCACAAGACCTGATGGTTTTAAAAGTGGCAGTTTTCACTCATGCCCTCTCACCTGCCACAATGCAACACATGTGTCGCTTCCGTTTTGCCTTCCACCATGATTGTAAGTGTCCTAAGGCCTCCCCAGCTATGTGGAACTGAGCCAATTAAAACTCTTTTCTGGCCGGGTGCAGTGGCTCATGACTGTAATCCCAGCACTTTGGGAGGCCGAAGCGGGTGGATCACGAGGTCAGGAGATGGAGAGCCTCCTGGACAACATGGTGAAACCCCATCTCTACTAAAAATACAAAAATTAGCTGGGCCATGGTGGCACATACCTGTAATCCCAGCTACTAGGGATGCTGAGGCAGAAGAATCGCTTGAACCAGGGAGTTGGAGGTTGCAGTGAGCCAAGATCGTGCCACTGCACTCCAGTCTGGCAATAGAGTGAGACTCCATCTCAAAAAAAAAAAGAAAACAAACAAAAAAAAAACCTCTTTTCTTTATAAATTACCCTGTCTCAGGTGATATCTTTATAGCAGTGTGAGAACGGACTAATACAGACTTAATGGCTTCTCTTCCTTATTGGGCTCCTGAGTGATCTCAGAGCACAGCTTGTCCTTGGTCATGTGTGGACACACTGGCATTGCCCCGTGATCAGTCCAAATATGTCGAGGTGGTATAAATCAATAGCTTATTGTCCAACGCCATTTCTCCTTTTCATTTCCACATGACTCCCTCCTGCCCCTGCCCTAGATCTGAGCTTTGAGCTTCCCTGAAATGGCTCGTAATCCACCAAGTGCTCTTCCTAAATGAGTTTTGGATTTTGGTTTTCTTCCTTTTTTCTTCTCTGTGATTCTGATCTCATTTCATTTCTACATCTTAGGAAGTTCTCAGAATTTTTTTTCCACTGATATCTTCCCTTGGTTTCCAGTGAAGTTATGAGATTCTTTTCTAAGATTAACCTGACATTAAACTGAATTTGTGGTGGGAGGGGAAGTAAGACGCCTATGTTCACTTTAGTTTCTTTTTCTGATCTCATCCTCTGATGTTTTTCTATTTCTATTCTCTTTTGTGTTTAAATAAAATTATTGCTTTTATGACTCCCTAACATTTTTTTGAAATATGGCTACCCCATGGTTTAAACATTCCCTCCAATGTGACACTTCAAAAGTTTTACTAATGTAAGTAACAACAGAGTGAACATACTCGGAGATATACATTTTCACATATCAATAATATTTCCATAGAAGCTTGCTGGGAGCAAAATTACTATATAACACCTTTTTGAATAAGTAAATTGTGACTGAATTTTAGAAAGAGTTGCTGTAACAGTGTCCAGTAGATGTCAAAGCTTAAGATAAATCTGTCTGGTGTGCTCTGTCTCCCCTGAAGAGACACAAGAGGCTCAGTTTGGGGCGTTTCTGCTGTCAGCCTGTCTGCAATGCTGATTAGGAGCAACTGACTGATTTCACCATGTTAAGCTTCACACAAAGAAGAAAAAGTAACACTTCTGCCAGCTGTTTCAAAAACAGTCATGTGCTATATATAAGTAAAGAGTAAAAGGAGATGACATCACTTCTATTTTTATATCTGATTCTAAAGCTATTTTTGCATGTATAACTA